GTCTCGGTAACTGATAGACTGCTCTCCTAAACCGTTAGAAGGCACCTCAATCCAAAGAAAGTTACCCCAGGGTCAGTCATAGAGAATCCTCTAATGGAAAAAGAGACCGCAAGCTTTTCTTTACTTTTCCGGCGTTTCAGGCCCTATTCCAACGGCGCCCGCACCACCCCCAAATCGATAAGAGCTTCCCGTTTCTTTCCCTGTGGGCCAGAAATGAAAGTCTGGGGTTTTATTTTTATGTGTGAACTAAGTTCCCTTGCACCGGAGTGTTTTCCCTTCTCGAGAGGGATCTGTTTCAAGCTGCGCAGGTGCCTTTCGCCATTTTAGGGGGAGCAGCTTCAAATCCTTTGGTCGGTTTTGGGGGCAGGGATGTCTTTAACACCGTGGCTACCTTGAAATTCCCTGTTGTTATGAGAAGTGTTCCAGAGGAGAAAACTTTCTTGGAAAGAGAGGGACTTGTCAGGGCTCAGAGTGGAAAAGTCGTGTGCGAAGAGCCCCTTCGTTTTTCTCTTCCCTCAGCTGGATCGCCATGCCCACCCTGCGATCTTCCTCCTCCTCCTCCTCTCAGCGCCACAGCTCCTCCCCAAGCAGCGTGTCCTCCTGTCTGCAAAAAGGTGGACAGAGGGGCTTGCCTGCTTCACCTGGTTCCTCTTATGATGAGAGGGACTGGGGCCAGACTTCAAAGGGGTGAGTGGAGATTTGACCAATTGTAACATTGCCTGGCTGGCTTCTTCTCTGCCATTTTACTGCACTGATAGTGACACATGCATTACTCTCTGAGGACAGAAGAGAAGCCATCCTGGTTCAGGACAGTGAGTCCCTCCACTTCCATTCACTATTTGTTTGCCTTACATATTGGACATCACAAATAATGCATTCTGCTGGGATCCATCATCCAACTTTTCTAAACCTTTCTTGAACACATTTATATGCTTAACACATACCACCTCTACTGGGGGCGGAAGTAGGAGAAGGGGAAATGAGGGGTTCTTTATTTTATTTTAGTTGATGCCTCATAGTTCACTAATTGGAGGATTTTGTAAACAGATCTATGTATCCTTAGCCATTATTGTTTACAAATTTATGCTGCCGAGGTGACATTAGTGTGTCTTTTCTTGGTTTCTGTCTTTAGGAAAAAGATAATTTCATACAAGATCTACTTTTTCCCTTGGTCATTTTAATTGGCCTTCTCTCAATCATTTGTTTCAGTGCTGCTGTTGGGGACCAGATGATATCAGTGTTATAAATTTCATTCTAATCAGTAAGAGTGGTTATATTCCAAGGGGTGAAATTTAATTCCAGGTACATCTTAATCTTTTGCTTATGTATGAGTAATACTTGACTTCCTGAGTCATGCTGCTTTGTGTCCACACAAAGCAGTGATCCCTATGCCTGCCTAAGTGAATAGAATTTGATTCTCCTATTGAGAAAGACTATTAGGAAAGAGTTGTCCTTCACCCACCTCAGTTTTTTATTCTTCGACTTCATTACTTTATTCAAGGAAAAAAACTTTTTTTTTTTTTTTAAGAACCCTCTAGGTCCTGGTGATAGAAAGCTCATCTCTTAAAGAAACTTTGAAAGTATATTTTTCTCATGGACAGAAGGTGTAGTTAGAGACAGAGAGAAATTATAATTCATTACCACTTTCATAAAGAGGAAATAGGGAGTGTTGTAGTTAAGGAGAACCATATTCCCTCATAGGGATAGTGATTCTTTATCAGCTGATGAAGACAGTGACTTTGAAGACAGCTTGAGACGAAATGTGAAGAAGAGAGCGGCAAGACGACCACTCAAAACAACTCCAGTGAGTCAGTCTGTGTGTGTGTTTTTTTTTTTTTTTCCTGGTGGGGGAACCTTATCTGGAATATGGTTGATGAAAGGACAAGACTTAAAGGATGGTGAAGGATGGAAGTGGGAGGAAAGAAGATTTTGAAGAGAAAAGAATAAAAAAGGGTATTAAGATATAGAGGAATAGGAATAGGGTTAGGCTTTTTAAAAGGAGAAAAGGGAATGATAACATTCACAACATAATAAAAATAAATGATTTTATATCGGAGGCAAACTCTGTTGTGGAATTGGTAGCTTAAGCCTATCTAAGCCTATCTATGTGATAATGGGGAGCTCTGGTAGCATAGTGGCTAAGGCACTTGAGTGCTAACCAGAAGGCTGGCGGTTCAAACCCACCACCCACTCCTCGGAAGGAAGATGGGGCAATCTACTTCTGTAGTGATAGTGTCTCGGAAACGCAAGGAGGGGTTGCTATGAGTCAAGTCCGACTTGACAGCATATAACAACAACAACAGCGTGATAATGAGGGGACCGTTAACATCACTTTCATTTCTCTTCCTTATTCCTTCTCTCTTTATACTTACTAGGTGGCAAAACAACCAAAAAAGGGGTCCAAAAGGGTACGTGCTCGCCACCAGAAGGAGTCAGAGCCACCAGCCAGTGATCTCTTTGAAGCTGTGAAAGCTGCCAAAAGTGACATGCAGGTAAAGCAGAGTGTCTCACTTCTGTTTCTTGATACCATCTCACCCTTTTAATGGTAGGAAGATAAGGACAAGTGTCCACAAACTTGATTTGATGTGGGCATCTTACCCACTGCCATTGAGTCACTTCCCACTCATAGCTACCCATAGGACAGAATAGAACTGCCCCGCAGGGTTTCCAAGGTTGTAAATCTTTATGGAAACAGACTGCCTCATCTTTCTCCCACATAGCAGCTGGTGGGTTCAAACCACTATACTTGTGGTTAGCAGCCAAATGCCTTAACCACTGTGCCACCAGAGTACCTTAGTAAATGTAATCTGTAGCAGGGAAGAGAGATTAGACCATGGAGAGAATTTCTTGGAGTGATGTAAGGAAGACCTTGGATGAAAGAAAGTATTTCCTTTCCTAGGAGTATCGTGAAGGATGGAAGCGGGAGGAAAGAAGATTTTGAAGAGAAAAGAATAAAAAAGGGTATTAAGATATAGAGGAATAGGAATAGGGTTAGGCTTTTTAAAAGGAGAAAAGGGAATGATAACATTCACAACATAATAAAAATAAATGATTTTATATCGGAGGCAAACTCTGTTGTGGAATTGGTAGCTTAAGTCTATCTAAGCCTATCTATGTGATAATGGGGAGCTCTGGTAGCATAGTAGCTAAGGAGTATCGTGAAACAGGACAGATTCTACCTTCATTGATTGATAGAGGAAGCAAGCAGAGGTATTGGGTGAGGGAGGAAGCTTGGATATAACTGGCAGCTTGGATATAAAGCACCCCTGTCACCTTTTTTTGGGAGCTGTGGTGCCATAGTGCCTAAAGCATTTGACTGCTAACCAAAAGGCTAGTGGTTCACACTCACCAGCCAAGGAAGATTGGGCAATCTACTTCCATAGAGATACCACCTAGGAAACCCAAGGAGAGGTCGCTATGAGTCGGATCCAACTCCACAGCATTGAGTTTGGTTTTTTTTGGGGGGGTCACCTTTTTAGTGCTACTCTGACATTTATACCTAGTTGTTTTTTTTTCATCTATATAAATTTAGTGAAATTCTGTTTTTATCCAAGTGCATAAAGCTTATATGTAGTTTAAAAAGTGAAAATTAAATAATCACCTAGATCTTTACCCCAGCTCAAGGAATGAAGTATTAATAGTGTGTTCTCTCAAGTGTCTTCCTCTCTACCCTACCCATCACAGGCCCCTTTATCGCCCTGAAGTGAAATTTCTCTTAATCATTCTCTTGTCTTTCATTATTGTTTTATTACCAATGAGTATGTTCTTTAATTTATAGAAATGAATCATTCTCTCCTGTGTCTTATTTCATTTAACATTGTTTGAAATTTATCCATGTTGATGCATAATGTAGATTTTTATAGTCTTTAGAAAAGTTTTAAGTTTTCAAATATAGGAAGTTTTGCTTATTATATTTTTGTTACTGACATAGCTTTATTGCTTTGTAGTCAGAGAATGTAGGCGTTGACATTTATGGCCTAGCATTTAGTCAGTTTCTAACACTGTTGCATGTGTGCTTGAAGGGAATGTGTGTTCTTCAATATATTGAGTACAGTGTTTTCTTGGGGGAGATCACAAGCATAAAGGTGATATGACTTTGATATTTGTAGTAGGTTTCTATTTGTTTTGTTTTTTGGTCTGTTGATGTATCAGTTATAGTGAGGGGTATGTTAAAATCCGTGAAGGTAACTTTTTCAGTTACTCCTTTTGTATTCATGCCCATTTTTGCCTTTGTTAAATTATATCTTCCTGCTAAATTAAACCTTTTATTGTTGTACAGTGACACTTTTTAGATTTCTAAGATGAAAAAGTTTTGTTTGATATTAATATATTTATACTACCTTTATTTTTAGTCAGCAGTTTGCCTGGTATCTTCTTCTATCCTTTTCCTTTCAATGTTCCTGTGTCTGTCTGGGATCTGTCTCCTGAGTATCTGGATTACGTGCTTTGATCTATTCTGCCAGTCCTTTTACTAGAGCATTTATCAATTTACTATCATTTTCTGTGCTTTCACTTTATCTTGCCTTATCTGTTTCTTTTTCCCCTTTGCTTGCATTCTTTTGGATTTGTTATCTTTTACAAGAACCTGAGCATGTTTTAATGCCAGTTGTTGTTAGTTGATTCCAACTCATGTTGTTGTTGTTGTTGTTGTTATGTGCTGTCGAGTCGGCCCCGACTCATAGCGACCCCTCCTTGGGTTTCCGAGGCAGTAACTCATAGTGACCTTATATATAACAGAATGAAACACTGGCTGGTCCTGTGGCATCCTCATGGTCATTACTGTGCTTGAGCCCATTATTGTAGCCCCTGTGTCAACCCATCTCATTGAGGGTCTTCCTCTTTTTCACTGACCCTCTACTTTACCAAGCATGATATCCTCCAGGGACTGGTCACTCCTGATAGCATGTCCAAAGTACTTGAGACGTCGTCTCACCATCCTTGCTTCTAAGGAGCATTCTGGCTGTACTTCTTCCAAGACAGATTTGTTTGTTCTTCTGGTAGTGCAGGATCTATTCCCTATTCTTTGCCAGCACCATGATTCAAAGACATCAATTCTACTTTGGTCTTTTTCCTTTTTCATTGTCCACATTTCTCATACATATGAAGTGATTGAAATCATGATGTGGTTCAGGTGCACTTTAATCCTCAAAGTGACAGCCTTAGTTTTTAATACTTTAAAGAGGTGGTTTGCAGCAGATTTGCCCAATGTCATGAGTTATTTGATTTCTTGCCTGCTTTCATGATTGTTAATTGTGGATCCAAGTAAAATGAAATCTTTACAACCTAAGTATTTTCTCTGTTTATCATGATGTTGCTTATTGGCCAGTTGTAAGGACTTGTGTTTTACGCTGAGATGTAATCCATACTAAAGACTGTATCTTTGATCTCATCAGTAAGTGCTTCATGTCCTCTTTGCTTTCAGCAAGCAAGGTTGTGTCATCTGCATATTGTAGATTGTGAATGAATCTTCTTCCGGTTCCAATGCAGTGTTTTTCACATAGTCCAGTTTCTCAGATTATTTGCTCAGCATGCAGATGGAAACAGTATGATGAAAGAATATAACCCTGACACGCACCTTTCCTGATTATAAGTCACGCAGTATTCCCTTGTTCTGTTCAAACAGCTGCCTCTTGGTCTTTGTACAGATTCTGCCTGAGCTCTCCAATTGCCCCTTCTAATTTACATACTGTTGCTCAGATTCTTATAGAAGATAGAAATCCCAACGAAAACAAGTAAAGGGGAAAAGAAACAGAAAAGACAAGATAAAGTGAAAGCACATAAAATGGTAGAAATAAATTCAAATCAGACATTATTGCTTTATATAGTCATTGTTTATTTATATTTATCTATATTTTTACCATTTTTTTGTTCATCATTCTTTCTTGAATCTCACTTACTCCATACAGAATCATTCTTTCTGTCCAAAGTTTATCCTTTTAAGATTTTCTTTAGAGAAGATTTTCTGACAAGCTCTTTCAGTTTTTGTTTGTATAAATGTCTTATCACCTTTGTTGCTGATTAATTGTTTGCCATATATAAAATTCTAACATGACATTCTCTCTCAGGACATTATGGAGATTATTCCATTGCCTTCTAGTATAGAGATTATTCCATTCCCTTCTAGCTTCCACTATTGCTGTTGAGAGTCAGCCATCCATCTAAGTTAGTACTGTCCAATATGGAACATTCTGTAACAGTGCAAATGTTCTGTATCAGCCTTGTCTGGTATAGTAGCCACTAGTCGCATGTGGCAATTGAACGTAAGAACTATGGTTGGTGTGACTGAGGAACTGAATTTTAAATTTTTATTTAATGTAAATTGATTTAAATAGCACCATATGATTAGGGGCTAAGTTGTTTGACAGTGCAGCTCTAATTTGTAAATGTTTTCTTTTGTGTTAAATAAAAATCCTTTGTAAGTGATTTCTTTTTGCTTTGGCTGTTTTCTAGATTTTTTTTGGTTTGTGTTTATGTTCTGATATTTTATAGGATGTTGATAAGATACCTGATATTTTGTATTTTCTTTTTATTTGTCATGCTTGAATGCCAATGGCTTCTTGGCTTTAAGATTGGTGACTTTCAATAATAATGGAAAATTCTTTTCAAATACTGCTTTTTCTCTCTGTTTTTTTCTGAGATTCAGTTAGATAGGTATTACAAATTCTTACTCTGTTTTCCATATCTTTTTTATTCTGTTTCTCTTTGTGTGCTGAATTAGAGATAATTTGACTTTATATTCCAGTTTGTTCACTCTCTTTTCTGATGTGCCCAATTTGTTTTTAATCCATCCACTGAAGTTCTAAGTTTTACTTACTACATTTCTCATTTCTATAAATTTTGTTTGGTCCTTTTCCAAAATTGATTGTTCTTTGCCTGCTTTGAAGTTCTCTTTTTATTTCTGTAAACATCTTAAACATAATCATTTTATCATTTATAATTTAAATGTGTAAAGTTTTTGTGGGTATAATTCTGTCTTTTTTTCTGTTCTTACTGTCAGTGCCTCTTTTTTTTTAAGTGTTTTACTGTGAGCTTCTCATATTGGAACTTTATGTGTTAGAATTCTTTGGGGTCTGGGTTGAAGGTGGGTTATTAGAGAAGAACCTTGGATTTGCTTCAGCTAGTTGCCTGGGCACACTGCAGGACAACTTTCAATTAAAATCTGTGATTATTCTGACCATATAGGCAGTGTGAATGTGGACTGCTAACCCACTGAGGGCTGGCTTATGGTATGAATTCTCAAGGGAGAATTCTTTTTTATCCCCTCTGCCCCACACTAAGGTCATAACAAGCTAGTTTTCTTACTGTCCCTTTCGGCCCTGTAGCTTTATTTCTCATTCTTGCTTTCATGAGGATGTGACTCTTCCTAGGGCTCAGCTTTATGTAGGATCCTTCTTCTGAGGAAGGCTCAATCTCCTTGGAAGGACCCTATCATAGGCTCTTATCTCTTGCGTGCTGCACCCCATGCAGACATCTTGACAGCAAGTTAAAGTCTCTAAGCTTTGATAGAAACCCTCAGGTCAACAACCAACTTTGGTACTTGCTTACCTCCCAGCGTTCCTGCTTTCACCTCATTTTTGGCTTATGAGAAAGTTTACCTTTCTTTCTAATTCAGTACATTTTAAAAAATGTTTTTAGTATTTTAATCAGTTTAAATTCTTCAGTTGGAAAGATCGCTCAGGATTTCTAGTCTGTCATATTTCCAGAAGCAGGAGTCATCTACTTTTTTCTTTTCCTAGTCTCTGGTGGATGAGTGGCTGGATAGCTACAAGCAAGACCAGGATGCAGGATTCCTGGACCTCATTAACTTTTTCATTCGATCTTGTGGTTGTAAAGGTGAGGAGCTCCCTACTCCTTTCTAGACCCCCAAGCTTTTGTTCCTGTGTTATGAAACTTTCTTTATTTAAATGAGTTAAAAAGAAAAACCCATTGCCATCTAGTCAATTCTGACTCATAGCAACTTTATAGGACAGAATAGAACTGCCCATTAGGGACTGCCACATCTTTTTCTCACAGAGTGGGTTTGAACCGCTGACCTTTTGGTTAGCAGCTGAGTGATTCAGCCATTGTGCCACAACAGTTCATCTAGATGAGTAGCATTAGATGTTTCCCAAGCAAAGGGAGAAGATAGCATAAGATCAGTGTCACTTATTTAACTATGTTTTTATTGGTAAATAATGGAAGTAATCCAGTGGGGAACAATGTTGGTTTGGAGGCAAGACTCTGGGGAAAAATAACCAATCGTGCTACTGTGATAGATAATGTTGTTGTTGTTGATTGCCGTTGAGTCAGACCCAACTCATAGCGACCCCTCCTTGGGTTTCCGAGGCAGTATCACTACGGAAGTAGATCACCCACCTTCCTTCCAAGGAGTGGCTGCTGGGTTTGAACCGTCAGCCTTCTGGTTAGCAGTCAAGTACCTTAGGCACTATGCTACCAGAGCTCCTGTGATAGATAATAGTGTTCACAGATTTGAAAGTGGACCATCAGACACCCTTTTAGTCTTCCTTTCTCTGAATGAAATCTTTTCTTATTCTTCATTTCTCAACTACTTCATCCCATATTCCTGCCCTGGAGCTGGGGAGTCCCCCAGAGCCCCAGAAGCCATGACTTAAATGTTTTTGAGTCTCAGGCAGGCTGTATTATTAGAACCTAGCTTCTGACCTAGTTTTATTGGTTTCTATTTGTTTTTGTGTTTTTCTAATATGTTTCTACCGCTTAATTCTTTGTGGGTTTTCTAGAACTGTTGCTGCATACAGGCAGCCTGTACACAATTGGATGGTAGCAGAATTATGACTCAAGTCATCAGATTCTTCACCTACATGCTTTTCAGCATATTCCATACCTCATCTTTAGATGTATCTGTAAATGATCGTGATGCCCAGTTATTTGCCTTGTAATTACCTCATTTCCTCTCATTTCTCAGGCACTGTGACCCTCGAGATGTTCAAGAAGATGTCCAACTCTGAGATCATCCGCCACCTAACGGAACAGTTTAATGAGGTGGAGGAAAATGGCCAGGATCCTCTTGCCCCTCTTACTTAAAAACATAAGGCCCATTTTCTCCTCCTTTCTGATTCAGGGAAATAGGGTAGCTTTTTAGAAGGAGTTCAATCTTTTTGTGTTAAAAGGGACACAAATATAATACCTAAATATGCCTCTAGTGTTGAGGAGTATGGCAGCAAATGAGACATAAGGAGACATTTTTACTGTACTATTGAGTTTGACATTCAAAATCCCTATGGCCTCATGGACCTGGTAATAACTTCCTATACTTTGTAAATCCTTCCATAGGACTCAGGGGACTATCCCTTAACAGCTCCAGGTCCATCCTGGAAGAAGTTCCATGGTAGCTTCTGTGAGTTCGTGAGAACCTTGGTCTGTCAGTGCCAGTACAGCTTCCTCTATAATGGCTTCCCCATGGACAACCTCATCTCCCTGCTTACTGGCCTTTCAGACTCCCAAGTCCGAGCCTTCCGTCATACTAGCACCCTGGCTGGTAAGCACTTGTGTTACCCTGTAGACATTGTCCTGGGGTTTGGTAGGACTTTCCTCTATTTTTCAGTCCTGGATCTTCCTTCCTGTTTGCTTCTTAGCTGTTGAGGTTCATGATATTTTTATCCTAGACCTCCAGTTTCTCACTAGTACACTTGTAATAAGGGGTGGATCACAATGTCAATTTCCAACCTTAACATATTTCTCATAGTTCACCATTGGGAAGGTGCTGAGGACTAAACAAAAGCTAAAGAGTCAAAAGAAGAGAAAAAAACTTCACCCCAGGACAGTCATTCTTGAAATTTTAAGATCCCCTGCTCTGGACGTTCATTTTCACGGCCCTTTTTCACATCATTTTGACCTGTGCACACCCCCCCCCCAACCTAAGTAAGGGTTTTCTCTTCTGGTTTTCCCACCTCCAAGCCATGAAGTTGATGACTTCTTTGGTGAAGGTCGCTCTCCAGCTGAGCCTGCACAAAGACAACAATCAGCGTCAGTACGAGGCTGAGCGGAGCAAGGGCCCAGGGCAGAGAGCACCGGAGCGGCTGGAGAGCCTGCTGGAGAAACGCAAAGAGGTGAGCAGTGTACCTGCATCTTCTGTCCCCTCTCCCTGCTTCCACCCACTGCTGCAGCAGACTACCTTGTCGGTAGTCTCGGGGAAGCAGCTTTCAGGATAATGGCAGTGGCGTCTAGCGATAGTTTAATAGACTCATCCTGTCAGAGGTCATTGTGTGCTCATCTTGTTTCTTGGATACAGACTTAAAAACCTTTCTAATTTAGAGTGAATGTCTCTTTAATTCCACTTTTGCTCAATCCATGTTGACATTCATGATCAGACATGTTTAAGTGCCCTACCTGTGTGTCATGCGAAGGATTAAGTTTTTAACTTGCTTGTTAAGATGTATTGTATGCAGGTCTTCAAAGGAGTACTGGAGGTTGACTACTGACAAAGGAGGCTAAGTTTTTTAAGGAATAAGCCCAGGACTTTTGGTCACTCCTGGGTTTGAATTCTGTTCCAATTAGCTACTAGCTCCATGGCCTTAAGTAACTTTTAAGCTTCACTTTCCTTGTCTTTAGAAAGGGGATAACAGTCTCCACCATTTTGTGACGGTTAAGTGACACAATGAGTCAATTAGCCTGGCACATTGTAGGTAGTTGGCTTTGTTTCCATTTTCACTTAAGAGAAGACCACTCACTACGTACTCACTACATACTCGAGCAATCTCTTAAGTTCATTAAACTTTCAAACAGCTCCTCTGTTGTGAAGCTCACACAGATTTTTTTCGCTTCAGTATCTGAGACTCCACCATGAGGTTAGCAGGGCTGACCACATCTAACTGTGTCAGTCGTTATTACCTTGGCTGTCTTTTCCATGCCAAATCCTTAGAGAAGGAAACGTTCTACTCCCTTCCTTCTCCTTCACCATTCTTCACTGACAGATGATATTAGAACCTTGTATACAGTAGGTCTATCTTGGACCTTGTTCTGGTTACCTACTGCCACTCTGACAAGAATATACCACAAATGGGATGGCTGAGCAAACAGGAGTTTATTCTCTTACAGTTTGGGAGGCTAGAAGTCCAAGTTCAAGTGTCAGCTCTAGAGGCTGGGTGAAAGCCCCTCAACCTTGGGGTTCAGCTCTCCCTCCTGCTCCCGGTCCCCTGGAGCTAGAGGCTTTTGTTCACTCAGCTGCTGGCTGCTGAGACTGACAAACCCAAGGCTGACAAGTAAAAAGGCACAGTCCCGATGTTACCAAACCACACAGCAGGCCATTAATTTAAGTCCATTGAAAGTCCCAAGGTTGGCAGAGCATGGCAAGCTGCTGAATAATCACATGGCTACATGCAGGGTCCAAGTGTGCCATAAGCTGGAGACCATTCCCAAAGCTGTTTCTTATATATGGGAAGCAGACCACATACCCAAAGGCAGCTACTCAGCTGCTCATAGTAGATTCCACCATGGAGTTGATTACCAGTCTCATCATGAGGAATACTACATCTAGCTGCCCAGCCACTCAACTAGACCCAGCCAAGTTGACACAAACTTAACCACTACAGACCTTAAATAAGTGTATACGAGTGTGAATCTTTTTCTTTGGGGGGAGGGGGTGTCTTGGCTCTTGCTCCATCATTTATCACTCATCCTTTTCGTCTTTCATCTTTCCCTCCCCTTTTTTCTTCTCCCCACTTATAAATGTACACAGGCCTTTGAATCTTTCTTTATAAGCTACTTTATTTCTGTTCCTCCTTTTAGGGTAATAGTCTCTAACTTCCTTATTATCCAAGTCACTGAATCCTTCTTGCTACCTAGCTTCTATCTCCATTTTTTCATCTGGAACTATTCTTCCAAATCAGTGATGGCCTATCCCTATAATGAGTAGCCTTTGTTAATCTTCCTTTTCCAGACCTCTATAGATTTGATAGGAGCTCTGTGGCATAGTGCCTAAGGCACTTGACTGCTAACCAGAAGGCTGGCGGTTCAAACCCACCAGCCACTCCTCGGAGGGAAGGTTGGGCAATCTACTTCCATAGTGATACTGCCTCGGAAACCCAAGGAGGGGTCTCTATGAGTCAGATCCGACTCGACAGCAGTGAGTTTGGTTTGAGTTTTGGTTAGAGCAAGAAGAGGCTGGAAGCATTTTCAATGATTTAAAAGCTGCACATGCAACAAGTAAAGGTTATTATGATGAAAAATTTGTTGCTAGTAGGGGTTGGGTGAGTAGTTTGAAAGTAAGGTCAAGTTTACATAACATTAGCAAGGCTTTGAAACACTGCCCTGCTCAAAGACCGTGGCCGACCCCGCCCTGGTGTTTCACAGTCCTGCCGATAATTCAGTCTCATGCATGAGACCCCTAAAAGCGCTCACTGCGTCTCTTCCAAATCTCCCATTCCTGTTCTGGTTATGTTGACGAATCACCCAAATTACAAAAATTAAGATCTGTTCCTGTTTGCACTTCCTTGGCCGTGACAGGACCAGTTTGAAGCCCTGTATTAGAGGGCCGGTAGGAGTTGTTTGTAAATCAGACATTGATAACCTGGAGACTACCTGTATTTGTGTAATCCAGGATTTGTCAGCAGGGGCACTGTTGGCATTGGGAGGCTGTCCTGTGCATTGTAGGATGTTCAGCAGCATCCCTGGCCTATAGCCATTAGAAGGGACAATGAAAAATGGCTTTAGACGCTGCCAAACGTCCCCTGGGAGGAAAAATAGTCTCTAGTTGAGAACCAGTAAACGAATCTCTTCCTGCTCAGTGTTTTTTGCTCATTCCACTTGTACTGAACGAACTGTGTCCATTAAAAATCCATTTTCCCAATTAGTAGGGGATCTGAACAGCCAGAATAACCGCACATGGAGGAATGACATTTTATCAGACATGGAGGAACCTCAGGTATCAGCTGACTGTAACTGCCTATGCAGCTGCTTCTAGAGTCGGAAGGTTGAAAAGGGAACATAGCATATCAGGGCTTCACCCTGTGTCCCGTATTGAATAGGAAGTAGGTGGAAGTCATTCTTTTCTGTATCTTTGTGGCTTTATGCCATTGAGGTACAAGAGAGTTTATTTATCCTGTTTCTCTCCCTGTCCTCCAGCTCCAAGAACATCAAGAGGATATTGAGGGAATGATGAATGCCCTTTTCAGGGGTGTCTTTGTACATCGGTACCGGTGAGTTAATGGACTTCTGTCATTTGAAGCTGCTGGTCTTTGGTTATAGAGTCTGTCAGAAGTGACAAGGTCCCCTCCTAACCTTAAGTTATGTGATTAGTCCCAGAACTAGAGCACCTGGACCCAAAACTCTTAACAACATTTTTAGACTAGTAAGGTTAGCATTCCCCCCGCCTACAGAGAGTCTTTTAAACTCTCAAGGAAAGAATATAGGATGAGGCATTGCTGAGCATTCTTCTGCTCCAGGTTTGCCCAAGACTGATCCTCACCCCCCATCTTTCTGGGGTTGGAGACTTGGAAGGACAAGAGTAGAGAATGACAACCAAAAAGCAATGCTTTTCGGAACGTTGCGTGCAGCTTGATGAGCCTTTTCCAAGCCCCTGCTGCTGTTGTACATGGCTGAGAGCAAGGGAGTTTTATACTATTTAAAGGACTGGTTGAATTCAGTTACAAAGAACATCTGTAGTTGTTTCTCACTCTTGCCTGGATTCAGCTTAACTTTACAGAACCATTCAGCTGATTGACCTTTTCCTGAAGTGGAATTAAAACACACTCACAGTTTGGACAACAGTTAAATGAACTTTCAGAATCAGTTTTTAAAGAGGGGGTGGAGGACAGAGTTGCACAGGGCTGCTTCAGGAAGACTTTGATTTTTGTTATACATTGTAATTACACTGAGAGGAGGAAATGAAATGCGTGATGCATGGTATTTAGTCAAGAAAATAGATTCTTCAATGACAGAGAAAGTAGCTGGCAGGGTGAAAAACGCGTTTGGTGATGTGAGCTGATTGATCTCTGTTTCTAGGGATGTCCTTCCTGAGATACGTGCTATCTGCATCGAGGAGATTGGGTCTTGGATGCAGAGCTACAGTACCTCATTCCTCACTGACAGCTATTTAAAATATATTGGCTGGACCCTGCATGATAAGGTGGGAGTTGTCTGTCTCCCTTCCCCCTGTTTCCCTCATCCTCTTCCCTGTCCTAGGATGGATGCTCCAGCCCTCCTGGTCCTGCCACTTGTGTAGTAGGTAGTGGTGACGCATCAAGTCACTGAACCTCAAAACTCCCCCAGGACTGAGGAGGGGTGGAGTAAGACAGAAGGGAGAAAGGCGTGTCCAGGAGGTAGAATGCTTCGCAAGCTGAGGTCAAGAGGAGAAAGACGTCCAAGAGGTAGAATGCTTCGCAAGCTGAGGTCGAGAGGAGAAAGACGTCCAAGAGGTAGAATGCTTCGCAAGCTGAGGTC